AAAAATGAAACTGTATGTGTTTGCTTAGGAGTAGGAACAACCAACCATTCCTCCACCTACCGCTCAGCTGCTGCTTTATATAATAAATGACTACTCATTTTTAACATTTTTCGTATCTTATCTAAATAAAAAAAAAAGGTCAATATTAATTCAAAGAAACAGCTACCCATCTTGATACCTGCAATTATCTATTATAACTTAATATTATGGGCAAAAATGTAATAGTCTGTCATTCAGTAGTTCCTTATTACAATTAAGAGCAAAGTTAGCTGACTATCTGATGTTAAGGTTGACTAACAGTGTTAGTCAAGAGGAACCTTGTTTTTTGTTGTTTATGACTTTATCAGACTCCAACAAACTGAATTGAAAATACCCTTGCCAGACATCTGTCTCAAACTTGTTTTATGTGTTTCCTTTTGGAAAATTTCAGCTAAAATCTGTTTGGGACAAAAAAAAAAAAAAAGACAATGGAGTCTGTGTTTGGCCTCGTGTGTGTCATTGGTAGCTATTTCAACCCTGTGCTTAAACAGCAAAAGCTAGAGGAAAAGAGAAGGTTCTTTTCTTCCTACCACCAGAGAACTGTTTTTGGTGGCCCCATGAAACAAACCTACCTGACCAAATCATAGCCTACTCTAGTACTACCAAAATATGAGACCTAAGTTCACTGAAGAGGCCTCTGCAATGACCATGTTCTGCCAAGAGCTATTGAGATTAAGCAGGATTTTCTGCACATTGCAGGGGATGCTGTAGAAGTGCCACACAGGAACCAGTCCTGCTCCTTCTCCCTTCTGGACTCTCCTGTCATTCTACATTATTGGATGGGTATAAAATGACAGAAAAGATGCATATTTCTCTTGCTTAAAAAGTGCTTAAGTTAGTGAACAGTTGATCATCCTCTACACTTTTCTCAATGTCTCTTGCATAATTATCTTTGGAGAGATAACAACAAAGAGGCCAAAATGAGTTTAGGATGTATTTTATAAAAAGTACAGATTCAAGGTAATTTGTTAATAAAACTGAACTCTGAACAAAAGCGCCAAAAAAAAAAAAGTATGCTTCACAGCTAGCACTCTGTACCTAATAGAATTACTGAGGGAGAAAAAAAGCTAAAAACTAGTAGAATTAACATTAAAATTGCTAACATTTATATATGATAGAACAGTAGGTTTATCTCTTGGGAATTCGAGTAAATAGCAAAGTTGTCAGCTGGTGTGACTAGCCTGGCTTGCTGTGAAGAGTGTTCCATGCTCTTAAAGAATAGGTCACTGTTTTAGTGACAAAGAAATCATACCATGTAATAAATGTTCAAAATATTGATTGTATTTACCAGTGGGTAGGAGGAAAATAGTACATATAACATTTAGATACAAAATGTCCTCTTCAGATTTAATGACACCTCTCTCTCAATACAGGGTCAGGTACCAGAATACATGCCAGGAAAAGTTTGGATGAAAGATCAAATCTAGGGTAGATTGATCAATAGTAGCAAGGAACTTGCAGTGAAAATTGCAGTGCTTTAACAGCTCAAAGGATACTCAGGGAATAAGGTAAATATTCTGAGAGGGTGTTTTTTTAGAAGGGAATAACAGAGATTTCGAAAGTTAAATCTCTCAGCTTTCTTATTACATCGTGTTTACATAATCATATCCAGATGCTTTAGGCAATAGTCGCTTCCTGTGCTTACAGTTTGCTGTTGTCTCATCATTCCTTTATTAATCTTCGTGAGGATTAGCAAAACAAACAAGATAACTGTGAAGCTGAAAACAATTTCGTGCTGCTTCCTATGAGAAATTGTTTCCAAGAAGCAGTGTTATCTTTTTACATAACCTGGATTTCCTCACAAAATGTGTTGGGAACTTTTTGGTATAGGTATACTTTCAGTCTCAGAGGTAGCAAAATGCTGAACTCCTCTTTCCTCGCTCTCAAACATAGGTAGGATTCTGCGTACCCACAGCTCGTAGCAGGAACAAGGCATTGTTTTTTTAAAGTCTTCCATCCAGACTTTGTGTGCAAGACCATGCACACCCATAGAGGCCTATGAAGAACAGCACCTTTCACATTATTGTCTAGCTAAAAATAGGTCATACACTTACTATAACATGACATTTACCAAGCAGCTATTTCCTCTGCATGTCAGCAGAATAAAATATACATAAATAAAATATCTTCCACACACTGAAAATAGCACTCTATAATCATCCCAGTGCACAGGACGGAGTTATTGTGCAATGACAGCACACCTTGTTGAGTGATAGTGCAGAGCTTTTGCCCTGTGCCTAGCAACATACCCAAGCATGGGATCAGAGTCTACACCCTGCCTTATTGCTCAAGTAGGACCTGGCAAATGTCCCTTGATGTTGCCCTGGCCCATATCCACATATTTTACTAACATATGTAACTTCACATTCATCTTAAGGATAGACATGGTTACATGTCTTCAAGGTCTGAGGCTGTTTGTATCTTGAATTTTCTTGCAGGAATCAGAGCCATTGACGGAGAGAGGCTTTCCTGGCTAGTGCAGCACAAGTAGCATTTAATAGAAAGTCTTAACTGTTGAAACAAATAAATTAAGTTGAATATTACCACCAAAGGGTTGCAAAATAAGGAAGAAGTTACAATAACCTCTGGAATCTCCTTGATAAAGTATCTCACACATTCTATATATAAAGTTATATTTTAAATGGAAAACGTATTCAAAACATAATAGTTTAACCTTTAGAAGATACTGGGGGTTTTGTTTTACTTTAAGTTTATTTTAAGTGTATGCAAATGAAAGGCAGTGATTTGAAAGCATTGTCATCCCAAGACTATAATTATTCAGTATTAGGTTTTCACTCAAACTCCAGGGGAAGTAGGATCACTCTGTTTCTTCTTGCCATGGAAGTCACCATCTTGTTTCAGTAATACCTTAAAATTTCTCCTGAAAGAAACTTAGATTTTAAAAAAATTGAATAGGCTGCTTTTTCAGAGCCTATTCCTACAAGCCTGTATGAGCAGACTGAACTCACACCAGTACAATCATTACCTTTTATATGTTTGAATGAAGGTTTCCCTTGCAAACAAGCACATAGTGTTTCCTTAACAAAAGTAAACTCATTAAACACTCTGGAGATCTCAAGTGTCTCTGTTTCTATTCCACAAGACCATCATTCTCATGGATGTATCTTTACTTCAGCTTGTGGAAGATGGACCTTGTTTCTTCTACCCTTGTCTTATCAAAGGGTTTTCAAGAGGTTGGTGATGTACAGAGAAGGAAATTGTAACTGCATCCAAAAAGTTGGGACCATAAAAATGACCTTTTTCGATTGCAATTAAATTGTTTGTCGCTTCAGACCAGAAAAAAAAAATTACAACCTTACACACACACCCATTAGAGCTGTACATGACCGCCAAAAAGCCTTTCCTATTCTCATTAGAGTTCAGCATCCAGTGTTGTGGCCAAACCTTTCAAAGCAAGGTTTTCAAATGCAAATTACACAAGTCACTGAGAAACCTGATCCTCAGAAGCTATAAGCACCTCTAACTGCCATCAAAGCATTCACATTGCCACATATTAAAATGATAAGGCTTTGCAGCATAGGATTTTCCAGAAAATCTAAGCAACAATTTCAGTCAGCATCAGTTGCACCACCATTACCACCAGTGCACTACTAATCATGCCTCTTACACAGGAGTAGACTTAATATCCCTGCTTGAAAATCTTCAGAAAAAGGAGTGAGAACAAGAAGACCAGCATCTTAGGAGATATAACAGGCCCTGCAAATAGCTGTGTCACTTTTGCTGTGTGCTAGAGACTGCACAGCTGGAACACTGCCCTAGAATTCACACACACACCTTCGGAGAGTATGTTTGCTTAAGTGTCAGAGAGTTCATCTGTCCTCATGCTGAGTGCATAAATGCCATTTCAGGGTGCATTGATCTGGACTATTGTAATCTTCTAGAAAGAAAGTGTTGTGTGATCCCTGGTTTTACAGACCCATTGTACCAAAAAGAAGTGTATTGCCCATAGGCAACATTCTCACACACATTAACAGTATAAACAAGCCATCTGAGGGCTGTCATTTGCCCCTACAAGGAGATGTTTGCCCTATGTGTTGAAGCAAAGTCTAGAACCACTTTGTACATCTTATTAATACAGGGAATTTCACTCTAATAAGGAATGTTCCATGTTCATACAGTTTGTTGTTATGATAGCTCTAATTCCAGTTCCATCCTTTAGACAGATGCAGATTTATCTAAGACAGCTATGTGCAGGTAAGCACATAGTTGGCATTACAGGTTTCTGCATTGTGGTGTGATGGTTTCACAGTCTCCATCTTCCTTCTTTAAGTTTGCATCTGTGTCTTCTAATAAATATTGAATATTTACCATACCAGTCATTTGTTAAGAAAATATTTGGCCACCTGAATGATATATTAGGTCTGGACCCAAAATCTGTAGCTGAACATAGAAGTTACTGCTATTGTAAGTCATCCCCATGAGTACAGTGCTACTATTCGCTTCTGTGCTAATCCCACCATGTGTATTCATTTGCAGTACTGTGGTTTTAAATAGCATCTTTGTCACATATTAAAGACAGCTAACTCTTTCAACCTACATGCTTACTTCAATCTTAAAAGAATATAGTACTGTAAGGAAAAAATTTACTCAATACTAGACATTCAAGACTTCCAGGACTGCTGCACACTACTGGAGTGCAGAAGTGGATAAAGGGGTAAGTGTTGGTGTTTTTCCATTTCATTGTAAGCACAAACTCCTTCCTGAAAGCATGTTGCAGTTGTTTGTGCTCTGAAGAGAGCAATATTTTTAGCTTTACCACTTACAGTACTGGGATGTATTGCAAACTTTTTGATTAAGCATCATAGGCTACAAGAAAAGCTTGGAGCTGTAATGCCTCTAGCACATTTTTAGGCAGTTACCATGCCAACTGTAAAAATTATGAGTGGAATGAATACAAGAAGTCTTTTTGAAAATAAAATAATGCACAGTTATTGAAGAGCCCAAAGTTTTGGGACACTGCATTATATTGTTGGAAGATTTATCATGATCCATATATAAACCTACTGGTTTTATCAGGAGCCGATAAACTGTCACTAACAGTCTGCAGATCTGCAGAGGTTTCACTCAGAGAGTAAAGCATCTGTGTTATCCTTTGCAGAGTTTGGAATTACCATAGAACTATGAGCAAACCTTCAAGCAAAGAATCACTCCAGACTTGAAAAGTGTATGTGAGATGCATATTAAGTAGTGCATGGGAATCATAGAATTCTATTGAAATTCCCAGATAAGACCTCCATGATGCTGGATGGAAGTTAGTATGCACAGAGAAGCACAAATGCAGGTTGTAAGGTAAGGGCAGAGGGAGATAACTCACCAATTATCTTCATGCACAAAAAGACCCCACTTGGGTAAATTGGCCTAATTTATTGCCAATGAAATCAGAGAAAGATAATGAGAAATCAAACCTTAAAACACCTTCTTTCCCACCCCTTCCTTCTTCAAGGTTTCAGCTTCACTCCTGATCTTTCCCTCCTTCTCCCCCCAGAGGCACCGTGGGACAAGGACTCAGAATTGCAGTCAGTTCATCACCTCATTTCTGCCACTCCTTCCTCCTCGGGGGGGGGGAGGACTCCTTGAACTTTTCTCTTGCTCCAGCATGGGGTCCTCCATGAGCTGCAGGTGAATATCTGCTACACCATGGACCTCTATGGGCTGCAGGGGAACAGCTGCCTCACCATGGTCTTCACCACAGGCTGCAGGGGAATCTCTTCTCTGGCACCTGGCGCACCTCCTGCCCCTCCTCCTACACTAATCTTGGGGTCTGCAGAGTTGTTGCTTCCACATATTTTCACTCCTCTCTGTTCTGTTTGTCTGGTCGGTTTTATTTCCTCTTCCTAACTGTGCTATCCCAGAGGTGCTACCAGCATCACTGATGGGCTTGACCTTGGACAGCAGTGGGTCTGTCTTGGAGCTGGCTGGCACTGACCTTATTAGACATAGGAGAAGCTTCTGGCAGCTTCTCACAGAAGTCCCCCCTGTAGCCTCACTCCTACAAAAACCTTGCTGCTCAAACCCAATACATTGGGCTACCATATTTTCCAAGTGAGTTGTTTTCATTAATATGGGATAGGAGGATGAAGAAAAAATCCTTTTCAAAAAATAGTGTTTGCCAATGGAAGCTCTGCAACTTCATTCCTCTGGAAAACAGTGACTTTTGAATAACTAATTTGAAAAAAATAAGTTATTTGTGGAATTCTCCATGAAAGAACAGTCAACTCCAAGTTTCCTGTCATTTAGGAACACTTTATAAATGTATTTATAAAGAAGACTAATATAATACACAATAATATAACATAATTATATAATAGTCTTAAGCTCTGCCAGGGGATGTTTAGGTTGGATATTAGGAGAAATTTTTTTACAGAGAGAGTAATCAGACATTGGAATGAGTTGCCCAGGGAAGTAGTGGATTCACCATCCCTGGAAGTTTTTAAGATGAGATTGGATGTGGCACTTAATGCCATGATGTAGTAACCACAGCAGTGTTGGATCAAGGTTTGGACTTGATGATCTTGGAGGTGTTTTCCAACATGGTTGATTCTGTGATTCTATTCTGTGGGAGACATTTATATAATTATTAATGTAATGGTAAAGTAATTGATTTCTTCCTTCTTCCACATCCCTTGTTTGAAATGCAGCTGAAAGAGAAAATTTTAGTGAGTTTTGGCTGTGTTAGTGGTTCACAGCAGTTGAATGTCCACCCTTCTGGTCAGTGCAGTCCACATACCTTCATTTGGAGACTAAAAAGGAATTTGTCAATCAAATTAATATAAAACAATGCTAGTACTGGGTGACACCAGAAATTGATGGAGGCCAAGAGGAGAAGAGCAGAAGAAACATATTGTGATATTGTGCCCTGTTTCCTACCTTTCCATTTCAGGGTCAATTTCAGCTGATGGCGACGCTTTTGTGTTTGTTAAGGTCCTGACTAAGGGCTGATTGGGAAGGGACAATCAGGGAATAGGATGGGCCAGGTGTACTGCTTTGCAAAATGGACCCAACCCTCTGGCTTGGGTTTGATATTCCTCTTACAAAGCCTTCTTACAAAAGTACTTTAAAAAGGAAAGATACAAAGTCCACAGTTCTTTAAAAGCTGTGTTTGAAAATTAATTTAAATTTACACATGTACTAATTCATTTGTATATTCTTGGGCATTTCAGTCTGAGTCAAAGACAAAAGTTGAAATACTGTATTTTTCATACATTTTCATACTATGTTGTTCAATAAATCTTTTATATTCGTGCATGTAGACCAATCTTTATGAAATCTCCCAAGGGATTCCTAAGATAGATCTAGAAATTTTTTAATGTTGGCTAAAAATATTTTTATTGACTGTTTCCTCAACATCCTGTTCCAAAGATGTAATTTCCCAATAAATTTATGGGAAAATCCTTCCCTGCAAGGTTAGAAAACAAGAACTTCCAGTATTCTGCTCTGGCTCTGTTTATTTCAAAACAAGGATTTCAGCTCCTATTCAACAGAAAGGCTCCTTTGGTATTACTTTATCTTTTCAGTTTTGGTGTTGAATAATTGATATTGGATACTGATCAGTGTGATTTTTTAGGATTCCTTCTGTGGGAATAGTTCCGGGCCACTGTCAAGGTCTGGTCTTGGGTGGGTGGTGGGTGGTTTTGAAGTAAATTTACATAGTTGTTAAATATGTAAAGTGGTAGAAAATCCAGTGGCCTTTCTTTATTCATAGCTTGAGGTGGAACAGCAGGAAGAGGAGGCAGTGGTGGTAAGTGCAGGATGCTGGATTTTGCAATAGATTTAGGAAGACAGCCAACATAAAGAGGAAAAAAATGTGAGCAGCAGCCAACACACAGGCTACTTTACACAAGTTAGATGAATGTTCATCTGTGTCTCGCATCAGGTCATATAAAGCAAGGACAAGGGTAGCATTTCCAGCTAGACCCCTGTGTAAAATAATTGTGGTTTAACAATCCACACAACATATTTGACAATAATTAATTAACAGTTAGCCCTTTGTAGTGCCCACAAATCAGTTCTTCTAAGTGTGGGCTTGGAGCCCTCTGTTCATTCGTTTACCAAAGCCTCTTCACTTAAAATTCAAAATAATCAGTTTACTCTTTGATGAGTTAATCCTCCTGCTCCCTTCCACCTCCTCTCTCCCAGACCCCACAAAGCCTCAGAAGTTTGGGTAATGGAAAATTGCCAAACTGAACCCATTTAGGCCTCAATTACCAAAGTGATTGTATCCTAGAACTATTCTGGAGAATGAGCTGCTCCCCTCTTCTCACACCACGTTGCCACTACTGTGAGTCTGTGGCTCCATTGGTCTAAGCTAAATTTTACTCGCTGACATAGCCTAGTAGAAATGAGAGGAGATTCTGGCCCTGGTTTTAAATATTTGAACAGGGTAAAAGCCAAAAATGGTTGGAAATTATTTAGCCTACTATTAGGGGATATAATTAGACATACTTGGGTATAATTAGACTTGGATTAAATAGAAGGGAAAAAAAAGCAGCATGAAAAAAACAACCACGCTAACAGTAAGATCCCTTGTACATGGGAATAAGGCAAAAATGAGTGAAAACCACAGTGTAAATGAAGTAGGTGACAGCATAAGTCTTTTATGTCTAATATTATAGAGAGTCAGCTTGTACCTTTTGTTTGCTGAGTGAGGAACAAAGAGTGACCCTGGTAATCTGCAAGCATAGGCCATAGTTTGTGATCAGGGATGCCATCATAACTGAGGTATCCCCATCTGACCAGGGATTGTTGAACAGGATGTGTCATCTCTCTCCAGATCCGTGTGGGTTTCCTTGTGTAAGGCACAGTGTTATATTAGGTAAGATCTACAATGAGCCTTTTTAACTCCTTCAGCAAAGGTGAGGTTGTTTCTCAGAAGGCTCTACTAGGAGAATGGCGTAGGAAATAACAATGCTGCTGCATCAAACAATGACCCCGCAGAGAAAGTCCTGAGACTCTTATGGGGATACATTGAGAATTAAGACTTTTTAGCTCCACATAGCAAACCATTCACAAGTTAGACCACAGTTTTGCATTTCTAGTAACTGAGGTTTGTGAGGGTCCACCGCAGATATTTCCTCAGAAGTTTAGCAAAAATAAAAACAAAACTACATAAAGAAGTTTACTAAGGTGGAAAAATCAAGGACACAAAATGTAGGGAATTCAACTAGCTTAAATTAAGCTGTGTGCAATCCTAATTCTACCCTTTTGTGTGTTTTGATACAGTCTTTAATTGCATAATCACATACTATTTGGTGAATAATTCCAGACCCAGGGCTGATTTGGGATTGTGTGAACTAAATAAGGCATGAGACCACACACAGTGAATGAAGTGGATAAAAAGGAATATTGAACAGCTGCCTTGTTTACTGAGTACCACCCACTAAATGAGGCAACGATTCTGCAAAATTTAAAAAAAAAATTGTACACGATCAATATAATTAAATACTCAGTAATAATGCTTAAGTACAAGGAAGAGCAGAGATGCTGTATGGACAAATCAAGCCCCCTTCCCTAAGTCTTCCATTTAGTCAAACCACATTTGTTTTGCTATTTTTCACAGGTGCCAAGAATGCCTTCTCTCACTCTCCCCTCCCAGTGGCTGCAGTGCACTTCTGATTCAGTTAAACTTAATCCAACCTACCCTTATTATAAAAGCTGGAATTGCTTTCTCAGACTGTTTTCCTTTCATACAGTGTTGTAGCAAGGGTGAAGTTCCATGACTCCATGACTAAGGGTAGATATATGACGTATATAGAACAAAGTGCATTTGATCTGATATTCATATAGTAAATGTCACTCAGAACAAGTAGCTTTTGTATTAGAATGTCGGCATGTCATTGATTGTCAAACTGTTTCTTTTCCTATCCTCTAAAATAACAGAAATCTTTTGATGCATCATCTCCACAGGTAATATGATACGTCACTCGAACATATCATAGGAAACTTTCATAATTCCATTTGGAAAGAGATGTTTTGGGAGGATCTGGAAAAGTAAGCAAACTTCCTACCAAAGGTGTGGGTTTTCTGAAAGCCTTCCATTTCAAAAGCATAGAAACATAAACACACCCAGAGAAAAATCACTCCTGAATAATCAAAATATATTTAAATCTACATGTTTATAATTTTCAAAATCTTTGTCCCCTGCCTGAAGATTTTTTAAAAAATAAAGCATAAATCCTAGATCAGAATTTCCAGCGTTAAGATCAATGCATATCTTTGCCAGATTCAAAAGAAAGCACATAAGTCTATGTAAAAAGTATGTGAGAGGAATTAGTGTAATAAGTAGCAGTCAGAAAGCCAGAAGGGTGTTCCCATTTGTGCCAAGCTAGTTTTTTGTCAACCTTTGGAAATCACATCATCTGTTTGTGCATAGCTTCCTCTTTTGTAAGACAGAGCTAATGTGCTTCATAACTTTTATAATGCATTTTGAACTCTGATGGAAGTAATTGCAAAATTGCAAAGTATCCTTAAAATTTGACCATAGCTGAAAACCCATCCATGTTGCTTGGTATTTTCTTCAGATTTCACTAGTGCTTCATAATCCATTGATCCTGATTTCCTAAAATATTTACTTCTGTGAGGTATAGAAATGAAACTTTTAATCACCTGCCATTTTAAGAACA